GGGGGCAGCGGGGTGGGTGGGGAGGAGGGGGAGGCTGAGTGGTGTGGTTGACACGGCTGAAGGATGGGATGCCGTTCAGAGGGACCTCGAGAGGCTGGAAAGGGGGCTGGGTGAACCTGATGAGGTTCAGCACGGCAAAGCGCAGAGTTTGGCACTTGGGAGGGAGGAATGCCAGGCTTCCATACAGACTGCGAGGAGCAGAACCTGAGAGCAGCCCTGTGGAGGAGGACCTGGGGGTCCTGATGGGTGAAAAGCTGAACATGAGCCAGCAGGGTGCCCTTACAGCTCAGAAAGCAAATGGGATCCTGGGCTCCATCAGCAGAGGGCTGGCAGCAGGGACAGGGAGGTGATTGTTCCCCTCTGCTTTTGTGAGGCCCCATCTGCAGCACTGCGTCCAGGGCTGGAGCCCCCAGGACAAGAAGGACAGGGAGCTGTTGGAGGGGGTCCAGAGGAGCCACAGAGATGAGCAGGGCTGCAGCACCTCCACTATGAGGACAGGCTGAGGGAGCTGGGCTTGTTCAGCATGGAGAAAAGAAGGCTGTGGGGTGAATCATTGCAGCCTGCAGTACCTAAGGGGAGCCTACAAACAGGAGGGGAGTCAGCTCTTGGAAAGGGGAGATAACTGCAGGACGAGGGGAAATGGGTTTAAGCTGAAGGAGGGCAGATTTCAGTTGGATGTGAGGGGGAAGTTGTTTGCTGTGAGAGCAGTGAGGTGCTGAACAGCTGCCCAGAGAGGCTGTGGATCCCCATCCATCCCTGGAGCTGTTCAGGGCCGGGTTGTTTGGGGCCCTGGGCAGCCTGGTGCAGCATTAGGTGGGACGGTTGGTGGCCCTGCATTGGCAGGGGGTTGGAGCTTCACCATCCTTGAGGTCCCTTCCAACCCTGGCCGTTCTGTGGCTCTGTGAAGGAGGAGCCGTGGGACCCACCTGCACCAGGACGCGGCGGCACAGCCCGGCTTTGATGAGCGACTTGGCGACCCAGCGCGCGGCGTAGGCGGCCGACCGATCCACCTTGGTGTAATCCTTGCCAGAAAAAGCCCCTCCGCCGTGAGCCCCCCAGCCCCCGTACGTATCCACGATGATCTTCCGCCCCGTCAGCCCGGCGTCGCCCTACGGAGGACGCTGGCGTCACCGCGGCCGCGTCGGCGTCACCGCGCGGGGCACCGGGGGCTGGGGGACGGCGGCCAAACCTGGGGGCCGCCGATGACGAAGCGGCCGCTGGGCTGCAGGTGGTAAATGGTGTCCTCGTCCAGGTACTTGCAGGGCACCACGGCTTTGATCACTTTTTCCTTCAGGGCGTCTCGCATCTCGTCCAGGCAAACCTCCTCGTCGTGCTGCACCGAGATGACGATGGTGTGCACGCGGATGGGGATGACGGCACCGCGGTCCTGCATGTACTGCACCGTCACCTGGGGGGGGGAGGAGGTCAGAGGGCACAGAAACCGCAGGGGAAGGGCTGGGGGCGGCCGGGGGGCGAGGGGGGGGCAAGAGGGAGACAGCAGTGGGGACACTGAGACCCAGAAGTGACACTGAGGGACCAAAAGTGGCACCCGGGGACCCAACAGGGACATTGGGGGACCCTACTGTGATAGCCAGGGACCCAGCAGTGACATTGAGGGACCAACAGGGCACTGAGGAACCCAGAAACACTGATTGAGACCCACAAGTGACACCGAGGGACCAACAGTGGCAGCAAGGGACCCTGAGAGACCCAAAAACAGTGATTGAGAGACCCAGAAGTGACACCGAGGGACCAAAAGTGGCACCCGGGGACCAACAGGGACACTGGGGGACCCAACTGTGATAGCCAGGGACCCAAGAGTGACATTGAGGGACCAACAGTGGCACCCAGGAACCCAAAAGGGACACTAAGGGACTCACATTGATATTGGGGGACCCAACTGTGACACTGAGTGACCCAAAAATAGTGATTGAAAGATCCAGAAGTGACACCAAGGGACCAACAAGTACATTAGGGGACCCAAAAGGGACACAGAGGGACCCAACTGTGATACCCAGGGACCCAGCAGTGACACTGAGGGACCAACAGGGACACCGAGGGACCCAACAACAGTGACTGAGAGACCCAGCAGTGACACCGAGGGACCAAAAGTGGCACCCAGGGACCCAACAGGGACACTGGGGGACCCAAAAGGGACAACGAGAGACCACAAGGGACGTTGAAGGACACAAGAGGGACACTGAGGGACCCAACAGCAGTGACAGAAACCCAGAAGTGACACCAAGGGACCAACAGTGACACTGAGGACCCAAGTTGATATCCAAGGGCACAACAGTGACATCTAAGGACCCACAGGTGACACCGAGGGACCCAGAGGTGACATTAAAGGACCCAACAGTGACACCGAGGGACCCAACTGTGATACCCAGGGACTCACAATGCCACTGAGGGCCCAGCAGTGCCACCAAAAGACCTGCAGTGTCACCAAAGGACCCAGCAGAGCCACCAAGGGATCTGCAGTGCCACCAAGGGACCAGCAGTGCCACCAAGAGATCTGCAGTGCCACCAAAGGACCCAGCAGTGCCACCAGGGGATCTGCAGTGTCACTAAAGGACCCAGCAGTGCCACCAAGGGACCCTGCAGTGTCACTAAAGGACCCAGCAGTGCCACCAAGGGATCCAGCAGTGCCACCAAGGGATCCTCAGTGCCACTAAAGGACCCTGCAGTGCCACCAAGGGACCCAGCAGTGCCACCAGGGGATCTGCAGTGTCACTAAAGGACCCAGCAGTGCCACCACGGGACCCTGCAGTGCCACCAAGGGATCCAGCAGTGTCACTAAAGGACCCAGCAGTGCCACCAAAAGATCCTCAGTGCCACTAAAGGACCCAGCAGTGCCACCAAGGGACCCTGCAGTGTCACTAAAGGACCCAGCAGTGCCACCAAGGGATCCAGCAGTGCCACCAAAAGATCCTCAGTGCCACTAAAGGACCCAGCAGTGCCACCAAGGGACCCAGCAGTGCCACCAGGGGATCTGCAGTGTCACTAAAGGACCCTGCAGTGCCACTAAAGGACCCAGAAGTGCCACTAAAGGGATCCAGCAGTGCCACCAAAAGATCCGCAGTGCCACTAAAGGACCCAGCAGAGCCACCAGGGGATCTGCAGTGTCACTAAAGGACCCAGCAGTGCCACCAAGGGACCCTGCAGTGCCACCAAGGGACCCAGCAGTGCCACCAAGGGACCCAGCAGTGCCACCAAAGGACCCAGCAGTGCCACCAAAGGACCCAGCAGTGCCACCAAAAGATCCGCAGTGTCACTAAAGGACCCAGCAGTGCCACCAAGGAACCCGCTATGTCACCAAAAGATCCAGGAGTGCCACCAAGGGACCCAGAAGTGCCACCAAGGGACCCAGAAGAGCCATCAAGGAATCTGCAATGTTACCAAGGGACCCAGCAGTGCCACCAAGGAATCTGCAATGTCACCAAAGGACCCAGCAGTGCCACCAAGGGACCCAGCAGTGCCACCAAAAGATCCTGCAGTGCCACCAAGGGACCCAGCAGTGCCACCAAGGGACCCAGCAGTGCCACCAAAAGATCCGCAGTGTCACCAAAGGACCCAGCAGTGCCACCAGGAGACCCTGCAGTGCCACCAAGGAACCCGCTATGTCACCAAAAGATCCAGCAGTGCCACCAAGGGACCCAGAAGTGCCACCAAGGGACCCAGAAGAGCCATCAAGGAATCTGCAATGTCACCAAGGGACCCAGAAGTGCCACCAAGGGACCCTGCAGTGCCACCAAAGGACCCAGCAGTGCCACCAAAGGACCCAGCAGTGCCACCAAAGGACCCAGCAGTGCCACCAGGGGACCCAGCAGTGCCACCAAAGGACCCTGCAGTGCCCCCAGCAGAGCCCACCTGTGTCTTGGAGTCGGGGCGCAGCCATGGCAGGCTGCCGTTGCGGCGCAGCTCGGCCAGCTTGGCGTTGAGTTTGTGTGCCAGCACGATGGTGAGAGGCATGCACTCCTCAGTCTCATCCGTGGCGTAACCAAACATCAACCCCTGCCGTGGGAAAAAGGGCAGTTCCAGAGTTTGGAAAACACAGAAAGCGGGCCGGTACCGCGGCACCGAACCCACCTGATCGCCGGCACCGATGTCCTCCTCGCTGCGGTCCAGGTGAACGCCCTGAGCGATGTCTGGGGACTGCTGCTCCAGGGCAACCAGCACGTTGCAGGTCTTGTAGTCAAAGCCTGGGGGGTGGGAGAGCAGGGGGGGGGTC